ATTAGTGGTGAAATATTGAAATATCTTCTTCTAAAGATGAAGAACAAGGTAAGGATGCTTGCTTTTCACCACTTCTGTTAAACAGTGCCCTGAAGGTCTTCATCATTGCAATAAGGCAAAGAAAAAGAAATAAAAGGTATTAAGATTAGGAAGGAAGGAGTAGAATTGCCTCTATTTGCAGATGACATGACTGTGTATGTTAAAAATTTTGAGGAATATACAAAACTGAGAGAAATTTAGAAAGACCTAAATAAATGGAAAGATATATTTATATGGGAAGACTCAATATTATTATGATATCAATTCTTCCTGAATTGGTGTAAAGATTTCCTGCAGTATTTTTTGTAGAAATATTTTTTCTGGGAATTACTTTTTTTTGGCAATTCTACTCTAAAATTTATGTGGCTATATGAACAACCTAGATTACCCAATTACCCTAGATTATCTTGAAGAAGCAGAATAGAGTTGGAGGATTCATCTTACTTCAAGACTAATTATAAAAGTACAGTAATTAAAATGGTGTGATACAGACATAAGGATAGACAAATACATCAGTGTAACAGAATAGCAAGTGCAGAAACAGACCTATTTTCAAAAATGCAGAAATGAGGACCATTTCAATGAAATTTGGAACAGGCAAATCTAAGCAATAGTGAAAACAATCAGAATGGTGTTTGACTCTAGGGAGCTGGTGATGGGGATTAACTGGAGGAGTGTGGGAACTTTCTGGGGTGATGGTAGTGTTCTATATCTAGATGCAGATTTAGGTTTCACAGATGTGAGCATTTGTCATAACTCTGAATGTACAATTAAGAGTTTTGTCCTTGTATGTAAAATACACTAAAAAAAACCTGTAAATGAAGACTGAACTCCAGCTAATTATATGCATGCTCATGTTGTAAGGAGAAGTGACTGATATTTAGAATTTGATTTGAAATGCATAAAACATAAGTTGTATGACTCGATAGAGGAATGAGTAGTGAATACTATGTGATAAAGCAAGTACAGTTAATTGTTAATGGTAAACTGTACATACAGGGTATTTGCTGTAAAATTTGAAATTTTCCATAAAAAAATATTGGGGGAAAGAGCAATGAAAGGAGGCGGCAAGGAGCACAGCGTTTTTTGATGGACTCGATTTCTTTTTCTTTGATAAAATATTGATGTTCTTAATTAAGGTTGAAGATTACCTATGTTGGTAGAGACTGCTTGAAGATCCTTTATCTCCGTTGAGTAAAATGGTGTCTTTAGCTTCTTTCTTGGGACACAAATTTGGATCTGTCTTGAGCTTGCTCCCTAGCTGTTTGTGTCCTTAAAGTGTTGGTCTCACTATTTCCAAACTGTCTTCCTGAACATACACACCATACAAAGTGAAGAGACAGCACCAGGAAACAGCACATATGGCTACATTTCCTCCTGCAACAGATCCACAAAATGAGTGAAAAGATATAAAACAAGCAAAATTCTCTCTCCTTCCAGAATCCACAAACAGCATGAAAAAGAGTGCTAACAATAGGGCAGGAATTTCAAAAGATTCCAGGAAGATAGAAAGCAGAGACACAGATAGGAAGGAGAACACTGCTGGGACTGTTTGAATGATTTGGAGCTACTCCAAGAGGCAAGAGACAGAATAAATCAATTGTAGAGCTGCATCAAACCTATGAAACATTAATGAAGTTTATAAAGAAGACCTGTATGGAGAGGCACAGTGTGTTTCCAGGCTTGTTATTATAAATATACTATTTTCCAAAACCAATCTACAGAACCAGTGTAATCACCATCAGAATAACAAGTTTTTTTTAAATGAAGATTGACAGACTGATTTTAAAGTCCTTATTGATAAAAGACTGAATGAACATAGACACATAGTTTAAAAAAAAATGAACAATTAGTGGGGATATTTGTCTTCTGAGATATGGGAACATGCCACGACATTGTATTGCTTGGGTGTGAACTCAATGCAGGGATAACCAGTTCAACGGGATCTAGTAAAGAATCTAGAAACAAATTCATGTAGATGTTAAAATTTGGTTTATAATGAAATTGGCATTTCTAATGGAAGAGAAAGATGGGCATTATATAAATGATTATGGGATAATTGCCTCTTCATTTGAGGAAAAAAACTTTATTGAATGCCCTATACAGAGGGACACGAGGAGTCCAGACAAGGGACGGAGGAGGGTCAATGGCTTGGTGAACTACAAGGTGATGCTTCCAGGTGAAGTTTGAATTTGCTGGTGGAAGACACATACTGCCTATCAGAAAGCCAGCTGTCTTAGCTCAGGCTGCTATAACAAAGATACCGTACACTGGGGGCTGAACCAACAGACATTTATTTCTCACAATTCTAGAGGCTGGGGAATCCAGGACCCTGGTCCTGGCAGATGTGGTATCTGGTGAGGACCTTCCTCACGGTCAGCAGGTGGTTGCCTTGTATCCTCACATGGTGAAGAGCAGAGAGAGAGGAAGTGCTCTCAGGTCTCGTTTTATAAGGTCACTGACCCCATCGTGAAGACGCCACCTCCGTGATCTGATCACCACTCCAAGACCCCCTCTCCAGATCCTGTCACACTGGGGGTCAGACTTAATGCATGAATTGTGGGGGACACAAACCCTCAGTCCATAGTCTAACTGTACTAATGTAGTACCAACAGTTATCCTGGCTGTTTGCCACCCTCTCTGTGCAGCGCTGGGAATGGGAGAATGGCGGAATATCTGCAGTCAGCTCTGGGCTGGTGAGAGAAGTGGGACTGTCCTAGGCAGGCTGGGCCTGGAGACTTTTAGGCACTTAAGTAGCCAGGGTGTGAGCGCGCCAGCTTGCTATCTTACAGAGCAAGCCATTACCAAAGATGGCTATTTTCTCATATGGCATTTTTATTTCTTGAGTTTGCTATTTTAAGTATTGGCTTGGTGTATGTGACATCTTAACATAAGGTGGCAGTTCCCCGGGGTCTGGCATTTGAGCACAAACTGGAAAGAATGCAGGAATCTTCTCGGGGACAGCATTCCAGATGGGGCTGGCAGGCAAAGGCCCAAGAGGGGCAAGGGACCCCATACGACTGAAGGGGAGTGAGCAGGGTAGACGAGTCAGAGAGGTAGCAGAGGCCAGATCAAGTCGGCTGTAGGAAGGAAAACCAGATGGGGGCTTCCAGCAAGAGTGTGGCCCACAGTGTCCCAGCCAGTGGTCTCCATGTGCTGGAGGCTCACAGAAGTGGAAGCCAGCAGCAAGTGTTGTAGGTGTGGTCAGGGAATTGAGAGACAGAGAGATGGGGTTTACCTGCAGATCGGAAAGCACTTTGGAAAAGTTCTGCTTGGCGGAATTAGGACCTAAGAATTATTAGAGCAAGGCCTGGGGTTTGCAGGTGAGCATCCTCTCTAGGAGTCAAAGGAGGTGGGAAGTGGGGGCGGGCTTCCCTCCTGCATGGAGTCCACAGGTGCCCACCCCATGTGGCCTGGGCAGCTGAGGTTTTCTCACGTTAAATGTCAGGCAGATGCACATCCACTCCTCCCGGTGAGAGCGCCTACCCTAGCACCTGCGATATAGAAACTGCAGAGCCACTGCTGGCCTTGGGCCTCCGTCTGGCCTCAGCGCTGTTGTGGCCATGGGGGGTCTGCGTGTTGTTGTCCTCAGGGTGTGGTGCAGGCCCCAGAGAGCCCCCAAGATATGGGGGCCCCAGAGAGCCGCACAGGCATTGTTCCATCTGCGGGGTGATCTGTTGCTCTCTTCTGGCCATCTGTTGCTTTCTTTGTGTCTTAAATATATAACTTCTCTGTGGCAGGTGCTTCATTAGCCAAAATCTGCGATAGAGGGGAGAGACTGGACCACCCACTTCAGAGAACTTTTCCTCCTTCCCTGTTCCCATGGGAAACAACTGGGGAGCGAGGTTAACCTGGGGTCCTATCTATTATAAGCCACAGAGGCAGGCAGAGGAGAGGTTAATGATATTTGGTGGAAGGAAGGGTGGAGGACAGCTGTTTCTTATTCGCCCAGAGTGTTTACGCATGTAAATGTTAAGCCAGAGAAGTGGCCACTATGATTTTAGACCTCAGTGTTAAAGTGAATTCAGATTTTAGCCCACAGGACAAGGAGTGTAATAAATAAAGGTCTGTAATTAATAAAATCATCTAAAACTGGGGAGAGGATACAGAAAAGGGTCTTTGTTCTCCCCTCTCAGTTCCCATGCAGACTCTTTTTGGGTCAAAGTGTGTTATAGCTGTTTTTTTTTTTTTTTAGCTCCCTATTGCCTTTCTTTCCATTAATGAAAAAACACTGCCCTCCTAATTGTTTCCAAATTAGAGAGTGAGAGAGGCAGAATTGAGTTAGATCCCTGGGTATGGTTCTTGGAAACTGATGTTGCATGTTGGGTAATTTGATCTTGTGGCAATTACAAGGGTTAACCATGAAATAGAAAAAGCCACTCAGTGTGGTACTTTAAAATGAGCTCTGTGTGTGAGACTCATGCCTACATTTTCCATTCATGTAACAGAAATGTTTGGAAAATGGTTTCATGACTAAAGTTCAGATAAAGTTGGGATGACAAGAGAAGGGCATCTGTATATGTGATTTCTTCTAAAACTAGAGAAGATAAAAATACACACATGATCCTTTATTCCTCAGGCTAAAGCTAAGGATGATTTCTTGAGCATTCATCACTTCACTTCTGACTGAAACTGAAGAGTGGTGCTCGTGAGTTTTTTCTCACTCAGATGTCAGGTGCTTCATTAAGCAAATTCCGTGGTAGAGGTGAAAACCCGGGCTGTCCAGTTCATGGAATTTACCCTTATTTCGCCTTCCAGTGGGAAAAAAACTCCAGAGCCAAGTTTCAGCTAGTGTCCCTAGTAAATTTTGGAGACTCAAGGTCAAGATCAAGGCTTATTTTTTAGTGACTTTGAAATTACAATTGTAATTCAAAACAACAGAATAACTTCACTGGATGAATAGCACAAAATAAGGACATTTCCTGTACTCTTCCTTCTAAGTTGTTCTTGTTTCTTTCTAGCATAACACAGCTGGTGTAAACTGTGAAACGTGTGCAAAGGGTTATTACCGTCCCTATGGTGTTCCACCTGACGCCCCCCATGGCTGCATCCGTAAGTTTCATTTCAATGTGGTCTCTCAGACTTTATATACTGTATAGTTTCTGGGAGGTCGTCGGGATAAAATCTGAGTGGGTAGTGGTTCCCTTTCTTCCCACTTTCTTCATAGTATTGGCTCTAATCCTCAGTAGCTGTGTGACATCAAACAGTTACATCATCTCTCTGAGCCTCAGATTTCTTACATATAAGTGGAAATGAAAATATATTCTCTAATATTAAATTAAATACCATCAAAAGCACCTAAGAAAATACCGAGCATTGGGCCTGTCACATACTAGGTCTTCAACAAATGTTGATTCCTGTTTTTGGTTGTTTTGACATGTTTCTTCAATCTCCAGTGATTTCAAATTGTTTTCAGAATTAACATCAAAACAACATAGTATTGGTTTCACAAGGATTTAATAACATCATAATATTTCAAATAGCTATAATTTATTGAGCATTTGCTATATGCAAGACATTGCCAAAATACTTTCACACATGTGTTATTTAATTATCACAGCTAACTCGGGACATTGTGTTATTGTTCTGATTTGTAGATGGGGAGACCCAAGAGCCTGACTATCAAGTATTTTGGCCCAGGTGACAGACCCACTACCTGGATGATCCGGGTGTTGTTCATAACTGCCTGATGCCCCTGTGTCACACCACATTCACCACACAGAAAAATGCCACTGCTTTTTCCCTGTGGAATTATCGGTCATAGGTCATAGGTTTTACCCTACTTGTGTAACCTACTTGGTTCTTTTGTGTTCTCTGGCTGTCACAGTTGGAAAACAATACCAGTGGTGAATTTGGCCTCTGTGCTCAGCATCCCCCCAACTTCACTTACCAGATCATTACTGTCTGAGAGCATCCAAAGTCCAAAGGGTGTGTAAACCTGTGTGCCTCTTGGGCATTCTTAGTTGTCTAAAGCATGTTCTGGTTTCCTTTCCCTCTTCTACGTCATCCCATGAATAAGTCCACCACTTTTCTGTGCCCACAAAGAACAGACATTGGCAAAGGGGAAAGGGACATTCCAAATGCAGTCATACCTTCTTAGGAATCTCAGGTCTCCACCACTTTTCTAGTTTCCTCTTTTATCACTGAAGTGGTCTCACTGAGATACTGGAGGCTTAGCAAAGAATCCACAAGACACAAAAATCCTAAGCAAATTAAGCTAAGGACACCAGGAGAATCCAGGCTGGAGGGATGTGTGATGCTAGTGGCTTCTTCATTCTCCTGGTTCCTCCCAGGGCATGTACTTAGCTGAGCTGGGGTGGTATTTTTGCTGCCCAAGGTGAGGACCTGTCCGGTCAAGAGAAGCTCCCAGGTTGGGAGCCATTGAGCCTCCTGTAGCCCAAGCCTGTCTCCCTGGAATGCAAACCTATTGGTCATGTTGGTTCCAAAAACAGCCTTCCATCTGCTGTACCACTCAAACTAACATTTGGGTCATGATGCAATCTTTCTATGCCGTCCACGGGTTATATATCAATATCTAGGCATCCCACCTGTGTGTCCACATCACAGCTGTGTGATGCCCGCCAGGTGGGAATTCATAGTTGGCTTAGAGCCGGGAGAGGCTGTGTCCAACAGATGTGCCCAGAGCCACAGCACGCTCCCACACAGCCACCTCGACTGTGTGTTGTGCAGGCTTTGCCTTACGCAGGGAGATGGGCAATGCTCAGTGTAATAAACTGCATTCTCGAGGCCTTCTTGTTGTGGATACGCAGTGTCAGAGCCCGTGAGGTCCAGTCGTGAGAACTGAAGAGCAGGTATGAAGTGGAAAACAGGCTCTACCTTTCTAAGAATAAGTGTGGTTATTCTATGGACCAGTGATAAAGTATTAAACATTGCCTGAGAAGTCCTGGGACATGTGTGCCTTATGAAGTGCAGGAGGGCCAGATCCCTTGTAACCCGAGATCTCTCTCAGCTTGCAGCTGTAACCCCGAGCACGCGGATGACTGTGAGCAGGGCTCAGGCCGCTGCACCTGCAAGCCCAGTTTCCAGGGGCACAACTGTGAGAAGTGTGCGCCTGGACACTATAACTTCCCATTTTGCTTGAGTAAGTACCTGCAGTGCAAGTACAGGCTCCCTTCTTGGCACACAGCAGGGCTTGGGCATTAACACCGAGGCAGTGGCAGGCAGGGCTGTGGTGGTGGTGGGGAGGGCCCAGACAGGGACCAGCTAGACTGCATTCATGTATATTACGAATGTGTCCCCAAAAGCTGGGAACATAAAATTCATATGAGTATATTTTAAAGTCTTATTTATCTCCCAAGTGTTAGATTGTACCAAAGACATTACCATTTCAGTAAGTCAGAAGGGTCAAATATTGGCCGTTTCAACTTACCACACTGATCTGTGTGTGTGATTTTCTTCATAAACCTGGAAGAAATGTCAAGGGCTTCCAGATGTTCATTTGCATGGATAATGTGTGTGGTCATGTGTTGAGTGGCCAGGGGGATGTGTTGCCCCTTTCCCCCCATTATCATTGGCCCCCACCTCACCTGATCTAAGTGAACATTGCAGCCTCTCAGAGAGAAAATATACATATGTGAGAAATGTCATAGAACATAAAGCAGGAGAGTCTATGAAATCAGCTATGCAAACTGGGACAAGAGCCATGGTTCTGGATGTTTCACAACAGTGTGAAGACTGCACTTCCATGTTAGGACAAAGAGTTGCTGTCTCACAAAGGGACACCTTCTCACTGCTGCATTAGCTTTTGCTCAGCCCCACCTCACAAGCGTGCACCACAGGAGAAGCGTTCTGAGCTGCAGGGGATGGAGGCGGGACACATGTGAACAGGTGACTGTGTGTCCTGGCTCACCTCCTGCCCCAGGGTACCTGTTACATCAGCACCTACTTTCCCTGTCAAGTGTCCTGGTTTGAAGGATGAATTATATGATCATCTTATATTTTAAAGAACCAGTTTTTAAGCCCAAACCCAGTAACACAGTATTGGCACTTAATCAGTTTTAGAATCTGTCAATGGAGAGAGGCTGGGCAGCAAATGCATCTGCCTTTTTAGTGAAAAATGGAGCCAGAAACAATGTTATGGTATAAACAAAATTTTAGGGAAAAAAAACTTGAAAGAAAACACTTTTTAAAACTAGTCTCAATTTTACATTAAACCAATAGAGATGCTAAAGAAACCAAGCTCATCCCTACTCAGACTGAGTCCCAACTAATGTGAGCACAAAAATATCCATTTTTGCTCATTAATAAACAAATCAAAAGGCCTGTCAACTCTGGTTTCAATTACTTGATGCATTTTAAATTGGAAATATTGTCTTTCTTTAGTCTGCACATGATGTTTTTTCACTAAATTAGAGATGGCTTCTCCCTAGTTAGTGCAATTTCATGTTTTACTTTACTGTCTCCTTTATCCTTCTCTGTTTTTAAAATTTTTTTTAATAAACCATTTTTCTAGGAATTCCTGTTTTCCCTATTCCTACTCCAAGTCCAGAAGATCCAGTAGCTGGAGATATAAGAGGCAAGTAACATCTCTTTCAGTTTAACTTCAATGAAGGTGCTATGCTCAGTGGTTCTGTCCCATCTCCTGTGCATGCTGCTATTCCAAGTTCAGATCATCCTAACTGGAGTGTGACAGGGGCCTCGCAGGTGCCTCCTCTTGGGGCTCCTGGCCACTGTCATTCTCTACTTGAGTCTGTCCTTTGCAGTGACATTACCTGATTCCAAGGAAACTAAACTGATATATAATTCAGGCTTGAATTATATATCACAAACTTGCTCAAAAGCCTTCCATGGCTGTCAGTTGCCTGTTGTCTTATTTGGGTTCTCCATAAGTAGACCCTGAGAAAGAATTTGAGGGCAAGCAGTTTATTTGGGAAGTGATCCCAGAAACAGGAGTAAGGCCGTGAGTCAGGGACTGAAGGTTGCTGTTGTGAGGGTGCTTCAGTGGCCAAATCTGGTGTACCTGGAGGTGCATAGGAGACAGCATTGAACTTGCTCAGCATTACACAACTGCAGGGTGACTTCAGTTATTTGCCATTAGTGGAGGGCCATCTCTAGGCCATTAACTCCCTGGTCCCGCAGCTAGAAAAGTCCCCTTGGGCAGAGTGGCAGGGGTGCGTAGTGAGCAGCCTCTGGGGTGGAGAGGTGAACAGCGAGAGGGTGGGAGTGCTACACCTGCCTAAACACTTCTTCTGCATGGGTTTTACAATCTGTTTTGTGCACAGCACTGTTTCTGGTTGTTGGAGACTTAGCAGTGAGCAGAATGGAAAAAAATTCCCAGCTCTTCTTTAGTTTATATTCCAGTGAGGGAACTTATACAATAACTTAAATAATATTTAAACCACTTAACAAGTAAAATGCCTACTATGCTAGATAGTGATATGCAAGGTTGTGTCCTACCTAAAGGTGCTACTTTTAAGGGTGAGACCTTCACATTATAAGCATAAACTAACTCAGAGCAGAACATTCCAGGTCTTAAGGTTCAATTCTGGGACCGTGTGCCGTTTCCTGTGTATTCCCATATGACACACATAGAAACGCACATCATTAGAAGGACAAGGAGAGGCCTGATGCTCACATGCTCATTTCACGGGGGTGGAGGTAGAGTGAGGTATGTGTGAGTGTGCGTGCCCCTCCTTCTGCTATGTCCAGGGTGTGGGCGGGCAGAGAAGGGGCACGTGTGACCAGACAGGGAGATGGTCTCTGGAGCTCTGTCCTTGGCAGGGGAGTTCGGTTTCTGCCACAATGCAACAGTTCAGCGGGCAGCCTTAACTGTGAGTGCTGAGAGAGGTTAGAGAATATGAGGCTTGCAAATTTAAGTAGGATGGTTGGGCCAGGCTTCCTCTAAGAGTTAATTAAGCAAGGACCTGATGGGGGTGAGCAGTGAGTTCTGCAGGTGTCTGAGAGAAGCATCCAGACACAGGAAAGAGGAAGTGCAAAGTCACTGGGGCTGGAGCATGGGGGAAGGGGATCAGGTGTTACTTGAACAAAAGATAGAGCAGATGTGTGAAATTGAGTGCGTGCGGGCCAGAGGGGTAAGGAAGGGATGCACTGATCATAGGCCCTTGTCAGCCGCTGCAAAGACAACCTTTGAACTTAACCTTGGAGCCATGGTGAGTTTTGCAAGGAGAAGTGTCTTTGCATAAGGATCTTTGTAGCTATTATCCTGTAAACCAGCTGTAGGGGGAGAAGAGAAGAAGTAGGGAGCTGTCAAGGGAAACAATTGTGGTAATTCCTGGGGAAGAGAAGTGGTGGCTCAGACCCAGGAGGTATCAGTGGACGTGACAAGTAGTGGAGAGATGGTGGACATAATCTGCAGATAGAACCAACAGGACTGCCGGGGAAGCGGGACTGGAAGTCGGGTGTGAGAGAAAGAGAGGCCGCTGGGGAGACCCCGAGGCTTCTGGTGCAGCAGAGAGAAGGCCGTGTGCATTTTCCCGAGGCGGGAGAGGCGTAGCGAGAGGGCGGTGTGCGTGGCTGAGGACGGCAAGTGGACGCGACGCTGGGGCGCCCTCTTCTGGTTGCTCCTTTCTTTGTGAAATAAGAATCAAGGTTGAGGGCAGGTGAGGATGGGGACGGAGCTTGGCGTTGAGAGAGGATGAAGGGGTCACCCCGAAACGTGGGGGGGGGGGCGGCAGGGCGTGGGGAAGGTCAGAACATCTGGAGACAGCATGAAGGGCTCGCCAGAGGCCACTTACAGCGGGATCAGTGCACCTTCTGTTCCCGCTCCTGCAGACCCACTGCCAGCTGCTCTGCCAAACCACGGGCTGCGTGTTCATGTGTGGGCTGTTAGCTTGCCCCTCATCAGACGCTTGGTCATATGAGGACACCTCTGCTTGCCTCAATTTTTAATTCCCACGGTGGTCCCTACCACGTATCCTGCCTGAAGGGGGATCAGCCAACGTTTCCTCAGATGTCTGTTAATTGGCTAGCGTGCAATTTAGTGTCTGAGCCTTGATTAAGCACACATCTCTGTTTCCTTCCACAAGGATATTTTAGATCTCCATTTACTGTCTGTTTACAGTAATCTTTTTGTTATTCCTTTTTCTCCCCAAGTAGACTGGAAAAGAAATTTAATTGAACTTGAATGGAAGTTCAGCCATCTTTTACAAAATATTAGGGAAGCCCTAGAACACAGCCTTGGGGGAGAGTTTTAATTAATACAGCTAGATCGATTTGGAAATTGCATGCACAGATAGCCACTACAGTTTGGTCTTATATTAGTGCATTCTAAAAACAGCCAATTCAGGTTCTTAGTCCAGGGGATGAACATTAAAAGCACAAATGTCTCAACTGTCAGAAGAAAGGCAACACTGAATAAAACCAAACACCCTCCCATCCCTGAGAATTTAATTCATTAAGACCCATTGACGGTTTCTTGTCTTCTAATACAATGGTCTTACACAAGGCTCCTTTGGAATCCTTTGCTGTGTATAAATTCCTGTGTATCACCCCAGATCGTTTTTTATTATTATTAAGGTATCATTGATATATACTCTTATGAAGGTTTCACAGGAAAAACAATGGGATTATTACATTCACCCTTATTATCGAGTCCCTCCCCATACTCTATTGCAGTCACTGTCCATCAGTGTAGTAAGATGCCACACAGTCCTTTTTTGTCTTCTCTGAGCTACACTGTCTTCCCCATGTCCCCACACACACCCTATGCACCAATCATGACACCCTACAATCCCCTTCTCCCTCCCTCCCCACCCGTCCTCTCCCACCCCTCCCCTTTGGTAACCACTAGTCCCTTCTTGCAGTCTGTGAGTCCGCTGCTATTTTGTTCCTCAGTTTTGCTTCGTTGTTAAAATAATCCCACAATGTTGTTCTTAACTTTTTATCTGAAAGGGTTAGGGTTTAGGAAGGAGAAGAAGTGGGACTTAGCTAACTCTTGGAGTTATCTATTCTTTTAACCCTTGTAGAAAATCTGTCCAAATGCATGAGACTTTCCTTCCTTGATAAGTAGGGTGAACCCAGTTGAATCTGCATTTTTCAGGATCTTCCTTGTGAGACCATGTTGCAGATTTAGATGCTAATGTTATTGATGGAAATGTAGATATTTTAAATATGAGATTGGTTTGAATGTGTATACTTATCTAGGACATACCTTGAATATGGCTTTTAAAATAAGTTATCAGCTTGTATTCTTAGTATAATAGAAAGAGCATGGACTTTAGAATCAGGCAGGCCTGGGTTCAGATCCTGTCTTTGCTCTTCTGGCTGTGTGACCTTGGGCAAGTTAGTTGACCCTTCTGAGCATCTCTTTCCTCAAGTATAAAAGACTTACCTATTTTACAGAGCTTTTGCTTGACTTCAGTATTTGCCCATAATGAAGTCAAGCAAAAGCTCTGTATTTTTAAGAACACTTATTTATTAAAAACACTGTGTGATGTCAGAGGGGGTCCTGAGGTGAGTTCTCACTAAGTTTTCAGTATCACAGATGTTTCACTCATCTGTTGTTGTGTAATACCCCCCCCCCCAAACTCTATGGCTTAACACAACACAAGCTACACCTCACAGTTGTGTAGGTTGGCTGGGCAGTCATTCTGCTGGATTCGCTGGAGGGTCTGCTGGGGCTGTGCTCAGATGGGACAGCTGGGGGCTTCTCTCCACGTTGCCTCATTCCACTGCTTAAAAGCAAGTCACGAGACTCGTGAGTGATTTCAGTAACTAAGGTGCTGTGAAGGATGACACACTAAGTCAAAGAACAGGAGAGGGAGGGGGAGTCACTTGTACAGACTGATTGGAGAAGACCTTCCTCGGAGTTGACTGTGGGACCTCAAGGGTGAGAAAGAACCAGGAAGGGGCCTTACAGGCAGAGGGAGTGGCCAGAGCAGGGCCCTGCAGAGGGAAGCCCCTGTGGGAGGGAATGGGAGGCCACCTGGCTGCCAGGCAGGCCTGGTACCTGGAGATGTAGCAGGACAATCCGAGCATGGTTCCCAAAAGCCATGTCTGCTCATAGTAGGACTGGATTTATGTTAGTTTCCTTTCTTCTAAAAAATAGAAGATAGAAATACATTTAATTCAAGGTTGTCATTAATGAGGATTATTAATTTGAAGTTTCACTGTATAAGGCTCAGATTTGGGGGAAAAAGTGTTTCTACAGGGTTAGATGTTAAAAGATTATAGCTGTTTTGCAAGCTAGTGCCCACCCTGGATGTTTCTTAGGGGCATCTCTGACCTTTCCTGAATGTTTGTTTTATTTCCCTTTAAGCTGTAGTCTTCCGGGTTAAGAATGTCTATAAGGTATAGGTACTCATATTCTCAGTTTCCATGACAGAAACCTGGGGGAAGGGAAGCTGATAAAGGAATGGAGATGGGGGCCCCCTCTGAAAGCCTCCCCCCTTCACAGGGTGTGACTGTAACCTGGAAGGAGTTCTTCCCAAAATATGTGATACCCGTGGAAGGTGCCTGTGCCGCCCTGGGGTTGAGGGCCCCCGGTGTGATGCCTGCCGCGTGGGTTTCTACTCCTTCCCGATCTGCAAAGGTAAGTGGGCAACATATAGCCCAGTGATCACCAGCTCTGCAAGCTAAGGTTCCTTGTGCGGAAATGCAGGGGCTCTTCCTGGCAGACCTGTGGCCTGCAGCTTAGTAAATGAGGCCCCGGCTTCTACCTGTGTGTTCCCGGCGACCTTCCTACAATGGCACCTCCCTTTTGTCCTGGCAGCCCTGCCACTCCTCTCCCCGGGGGGTTAAGCACATGGGCTGGGTCAACTGTCTAGGTGTACACCCTGACCCTGGACAAGAGGTGGTGTCGGAGCCCTGTTTTAGGCACCTGCCCAGTGCACGAGGAGGCAGGGCATTCCAGGGAGAGGGGGTCTCCCCCCCCCCACTGGGCCTGTGCCCTAGGGTCTTGTTGCTGAGAGTCACTGAGGGGATGGAGGGTTGGAGGAGGAGGGGCCTGGCCCAGTCCCTGGGGCATAACAGGTTTGCAGGAACTGCTGGGCAAGCAAGCCAATGAGTGAATAGATTTGCCCAAGTTCTCCTCTGCCTCCTGCTCACTGCTGGTCATCGTTCTTCCCCCAGTGGCTGATGAAGGGAAAGTGGGAAGAAAGAGGAGGAGATAATCGGTCAGGGCCCAAGACAGGAGTTAAACACTCCAGGTACTGTAATAAGATGGGGACTTGCCCAAGGTCATTGGGTGCTACCCCAAGTCATTAAGGGCTGGCTAAGCAGGCTCTGGGCTGGCTTCCCAGGAGGCTGCTAGAGGAATGGCTGAGTGGAAGCCCAGTACATGGTAGCACAGCTCAAGGATAGAAGGACTCTAGTCCTTCTGCCTCCCCAGCAATTATTGGCCCCCAGGAAACCAGGCAGGGCACAGAGGCAGAGACGCTCAACAGGCTGAAGGAAAGCAGCCTCCTCCTTACTTCCCACCTGTCTAATCTTACTCAAGTGCTTCTTATTTGCAAAACCCAGTTGGCATCCAGACATTCAGAACCCTGATTCAGGTGAACCCAAAAAATGCCCTTTGTAGTTTCCAGCCTCTGAACACAGTGGGAGGCTAGATCTGGCACTGAGCAATCTCAGCAAGGTCAGCCACACCAAGGAACCATGAGCACAGAACAGAGCAGGAAAAACCCTCCCCAAGCTGGAGGTTATGCAGTGAAGAGCAAGATTTGCGCTATCAACTCAGGCAAGTTCCTCAATTTCCTTTAATAGTGCCTGCCCTAGTGCAATGTGTGGGTTGTGCATGCACTGGTGTGTACTGGGAAGCACTCACTTGCATGGTGACTATTGTTCTTCAACCCTCTTCTTCTGCCCCATGCTTCCCTCTTCATCATTTGAACAGCCTGTAGCCCAATCCCAGTTGTGTCCTAGTTTGCATAGTTGTCTGTATGCCATATCCCAAGCCCTCTCTTTTCCTCCTGGCCCCCTGGCATTCCCTGTTCATGGACCTCTATCCTCTGCCCCAACTTCTCAGCCTTTGCCACTCTGAAGCCACAGAAGCTGTCAGCAGTTCCTGCCTAGAGATTGGTCTCCTGGCAGGTGGGAGGGTAAGGAAAGGAAGGGGAAATCTTCTGTCTTTTCTCTCAACCAGAGAATTCAGTATTTGAAATTGCTGGAATGCCCAGTGGATTTCCCATAGAAACTTCAGCACAGGTGATGCTCTTGTTGGAACTGTGTGTCATGCTAGAGGTAGATTCTGTGCTAAACTGGCTCCATGGTCTAGTGTGGTATCAACCTTTACATGATACTGTTTCTGTGGAAAGATATCTCAAGTAATGGACCTTCAGAGCACAAGCTGGGTATGCTGACATTTATTTTAAGCTGGAGACATAGAATCTCTCATTGACAAAAGAAGAAGAGTGGGATGGAGGCCTTATGTTTCAGATGCCCACCAGGGCCAAGCCGAGAGGAACTTAGGTTGGGAGTGGGCAAGATTATGAGTAGTGAAGATGAGGTCTATTCAACGAAAGAAGGAGAAGGATCAGGGCAGGTAGTTTATCTCATTCCCCCCCACCAGATATTTAAACTGGCTCAATCACAAATATGTCTTTTCTAGCCCCTTTTTTTTTGACTCTCCCCAGTTATGTCTTAAATGTAAGCTCTTTGGGGCAAGGAGTGGACAAGAGCATCTCTTGTTAATTTTCTATATAATTTACTAACATCCACGTTAGTTCTGTTTTCAGTTGCCATCCTTTTAGCAAAAGCAAAATACTCTGTGGCTGACAGTATCTCAAAGGTTTTCTTTTTTCTTCCTCTATGCCAGCCACTGTTGCAGACTCACTGTGGTAGAATTACAGATATTCCAACCTAGTCATTCAGTTGGCAAGGCTGTTAGATTGTGCCTTTGTGTTTATGGATACAAAGGTAAAGAGTAAGATGACATTGTAAAAATGCTCTTTTCCACATGCTTCACTATTGAACGAATTCATTTTAAGGCAGGTAGAAAATGAAAGAGTGTATTCAGGATAAAGCAGAAGGGAGGTTGGACTTTTAGAACACAGAGCGAGGAGCTCAATAGACTCTCCAGCAAAACAAAACTTTAGTGAAAAATTATAAAAAATCATTTAAAGGATCTAGAAATTCGTCTAAGAGCATAGAGCAAATGAAGAAAAAAATTTAGTTAAGAAAATCTAAATCTCAGTAAGAATGAGTTTGTGACGTGTGAGGTGTGAAGTCTACTCCCTGCCCACCACCACCTCTACTCTGTGTTAAAGAAGCTCTACCCTGGTATAGCTAAGATGACAGGGGTTTACTCTCTTCCAAACTCCCAGTCTGGGACTACAGGTTCACCCCAGGAGAGACAGGCTTCTGGCATTTCTCGCTGCCCCCAGCCCTGTGTTGCAGAAGCTCCGTGACAGGCAGGCCCAGCAGAGAGGACAAGGTCTTTCTTTTCCCACCTCATACCCACTCAGATGGTGGAGACTTTATACCAGGTGCTGAAGGCAGAGAATACTGGGACCTCAGTACCCCCACCCCAGCTGGCTTAGGGAGGGAGGTTCCAAGCTAGGAGAGGCAAGCTGAGAAGACCAGGAGCTCCCACTCCCACTACCAGGGCTCACTTGAAGAGTTGGAGTGTCAGTTCATAAAATGTGAGTCCTCATCTTAAGCTCCATAGCACAGTGCTTCTGTACAGCCAGGAGAAAAGGTAGGTCATAATGATATAGTTCTGAAGCTGTCTGAGGGACTGTTTTAACAGAGTAAAGAACTCCGTATCTAAAGGTGTTGTAGAAAACAATGTTGATCTTGGTATGTAGCAATCAAAAGGAAGCTGGTAGCTCTGATACAAACAAAACAGCAAAGCAGTCAGAAATTTCACAGAATCAGAGAAAGTGCAGCCAAAATGAGCTTTCCTGATATCATAGATAGGTCTGCAATTGGAAAGTTATGTGCATATGCTAGACTGCACCCACTCAAGAAGAATCAGAGCAAAACATGGGGAGACTCAGAAACATCTCTAAGCTACACATAAACTCAACAGCACAGGATGGACACTATTTAAGCACGACCTCTAATCAAACACTGACTGAACAAGCTGCTCTGACACAAGGCAGCTCCTAGGGAGTCAGGCTTTTAAAGAGAATCATAGTCATCCCTTGCTATCTAGAGCTGTATAATGGCCAAGGCTGCGCCTTCTCAGCAGTGATCAGAGTGGCAAACTCCAAACTAGTATTCCCTGGATGAATGTAGGGAAAAAGTGTAAACTCCCCAAACTTGAAGGTATTAACAGTCTCCAAGCCACACAAACATGCAATGGGAAAGGATAAAAATCTGACTGGCCAAGAATGTTTAAACACAATATTCAACCAATAAATTTCTTGTACTGACCCAGGGGTGACTCCAAAATATCCAGGTCAGAAGGTAAAAACAAGGAAAAATCTGAACAAGAACAAGAGAGGCTGAACATTGAGGAGGAAGTCAACTGCAGAATTAGTTCAGCCAAGTCGCTAACCAACCAGCCAAGCATACAAAAACAAAAGTCCTGGTGGTGGAGTGGGTCAATAGCCAGAGTTGCTATACTAAACTACCTAAAAATCCAGATTTCAAAAAAAATCACGAGGTATGCCAAGAAACAAGGAATTGTGCCCCATATACAAGAAAAAAAGCAGGCAATATAAGCTGCTTTTGAATGGGCTCAGGTAATGGACTTAGCAGATCAAAACAGCTATTATAAATCAGTGCAAAAATAACTAAAGGAAACCATACTTAATGAATTAAGGGAAGGTAAGATGATGAAAATATCTTATAAAATGGAGAATATAAATGAAGGTATAGAAATCATTAAAAAGAACCAAATGGAAATGCTGAAGTTGAAAAGTATAACTGAAAAGAAAAGTTCATTAGAGGGATTCAACAGGAGATTTGAGCTGGCAGAAGAATCAGCAAACTTGATAGATAAATAGATATTATTCAGTCTGAAAAACAGAGAAAAAGAATGAAGATAAATAAGCAGAGCCTCAGAGAAACATAGGATACTATTAAATGCATCAACATATGTGTAATGGCAGGACAAGAAGGAGAGGAGAGAAAGGTAGGACCAGAAAAGATAGTCAAATAAATAATGGCAGAAGACTTCCCAAATTTGATGAAAAATACTTTCACATCAAAGAAGTTCAATAAACTCCAATAGGATAAATACAAAGAGATCCACACCCACAGGCATCATAGTTTAAATGTTGAAAGACTAAGAGAAAAATCTTGAAAGCCGCAAAAGAAAATGACTCATCACATGCTGGAGAACCCAGTTAGAATGTCAATTGACCTCTCATCTGAAACAATGGGACCTCAAAGGCTGTGGGACCATATATTTCAAAGAATTGAAAGTCAAAAATTGTCAACCAGGAATCTTATATCCATTTAAATCAAAATTATTTTTCAAAATTAAAGCAAAATAAAGACATTCCCAGGTTAACAAATGAGAGAATTCAATGCTAGCATACCCATCTTACAAGAAATAATAAAGGAGGTTCTTCAGGCTGAAATTGTCTGTGACTCTGAGCAGTTTGTCACTTTTCTTTACTTCTGCTCCTCCATCTTGTGGCT